GGCCGGGTGCTGTCGGGGTGTGGCCTGGGGAAGGTCCCTGCCTGGCGCTGTCGGCAGTGGCCTGGGGAAGGTCCCTGCCTGGCGCTGTCAGCGTGTGGCCTTGCACTGTGCTCTCCAGTGGCATTTGCAGGGATTTGGGAGCAGCGGGCAGTAGCAGGTCTCAGGATAGTGTGCGTGTGCTGGAGAGAGGGATGAGAGGAGAAAGGAAAGGAAAGGATGAAGGAAAAGGAAAAAAGGATGAAAATTAGGGTTTGCTTTCTCACCTGCCCTTTGCCAAGCTTCTTTACTTTCCTGAGGTCCTTCTTCTGACAGCGCTGTGGTCCAGTTCTTACGCCAGCACTCACTTTAGTGTCAAACTTTAACATTGTATTCCCAGCCAGAAGAAAACTCTTCACGTGACTTAGATTAGAAGGAGTTTTATGTTATTGAAGTTTTTTGTTTCTAAGAGAGAAGTAAAAGAACACTGTCAGGGAGTCGTTGACTTGAATGAGGATTCCAGCTTTTAATGACCATTCTTTCCTCCTGGGCTTGTACTTCCTTAAACTGCCTCAACTCCTCCCAGATCCCGTAGGCAGCACGGCCGGGTCTCTCCTGTGGGTGTGAGGACTCAACGTAAAGGCTGTGAGTGGTGCCGTGGGCTGGCAGCCAGAGCCCACGGCCGTGTGACATCTCCCTTAGTTACCAGAAACGTGAAATTTGGGATGTTAGGGTTTCCTGTGTGGCCAAGCAACTCTGCTTAAAGTCAGCAGATGATGCGTGACAACCCTTCAGCAGCAACTGAAAATGTGTCCCTAGTACTTAACTCTATCAGGAAATTATATGTTTTGCACCCAAAAACCACGTGGCAGCTTTATTTGGCAACGACTGCTTAGGATGTTTGGGTTTCTGTTATGACTCAAGCTTTTTATGTCTTATGATGGCTGTAGATGATTTCTTCACACCCAGCCCGGTCTAAGGGACTTTCACTGGACTGAAATAACCTCGTTAGTCCTCGGATTTCTTCACAGCATCATCTGCATTTGTGAGCTGGACACCTCTGAGGCGTGTCCTGCCGCACGCTTCTCCAGAGACGGTTTGTGACTTGAGCAGCTGTGACGTTCATCAGCCATGAGGTGGGTGAAGTGTGAGCAGGACAAAGCAGAAATGTGGGCACCTCTGCAGGTGAGGGATCGGTGGATGAAGCACCCGCAGAGAAAAGGGCGATCGCTACACCATGTCGTTCTTCAGTTAAAGAAGTCAAAACCCGAGCAGTTTGAGAACTGAAAACAGGGCCTTTCCCCCATTTCAAACGCCATTCGGGAACTCTGAGCACTTAATTTTAGCACAACTTCACATCAGCTTTTTCAGCAAGCGTTGACTTGTTTGGTTTTGTCAGGTTTCACATCATGTTAATAATAATAATACAATAAAAATTATGTGTGTCTAATACTTCCTCGTAGGCAATAAAGCACCCTGGAAAGGGGCACAGCCCAGTGCCTCGGGTTCCTAGAAGACTAGTTATTTGACAGCCTTGGGAGTACAGTTCTGGTGGTGAATTTTTATTCTACCATGTGTGGGGGTTTTTTGTTTTGGGTTTTTTTTTTTAGTAGACTACTTTTGTTTATTGGAAACTGTGAGATTTGTTGGGGTTTTTTTTCTGTAAGGTTAACAAATCATTCTACCCACTAGAATGGTGAGAAACCCATCCGGATTCTTCTAAGCTAACACAGTTTTTACTTCAGTGTTAAAAGCACCTTCGTTGGTTGAGAAAGAGAATCTTGGAAAAGACCAAAGCTCTCTGGTATCTGCTTTTAAAAAAAATAAAAATTAAAAAAATTTAAAATGCTGTCAAACAGCTGTGTGCAGATGTCTGAGTTTGCATAGTCCTGTTGTACTGACATCCAGCACGGGAACTGGAGGGAGGCAGAGAACCAAATGCCTCACTCTTGTACAAAACGTGTATTTATAATTCTCTGAAATGAATGAGATTTCTGCTGTTGAGTGAAAAATCTACAGGCCTTTATTCCCAGTGGGTTCGTGTAATTAGAGGTCGTTGTGCAAAAAATGTCTTTTTAGAATAGCCGCGCGATGGCGGATTTGAGAAAATTCCTTCTTTCAATCAGCTGAAGGTGTGCTTGAGGGGAAGTACTGTGTGTGACACCTGAAATGTGCAGATGTGCCCTGTGCAGCTTAAAATGATCCTTCAGTGTCTCCATGAAGTATATTTTGTCTTTACGTTGCTACTAACGGAGTAAGATCGGGATTATTTTCAGGAGGTCAGTAACAGTATTGTTCTCTCGAGCACTTTAACGTACATATCCCAGACTGAGGTGGGGTTTTCAGGTTTTGGAGTACACTGAGATACAGCATTTCATGCTATGTCCTTTACAAATAAAACTGTGAGAATAACGGTGGGTGTCCCTTTCTCCTTCCAGAGGAACCGAGAGAGATTCGAGCCTGAAGCCGAAGGGCAGATCTGACCCTGGAGGGCAGGTTCCCTGAAGGGAACGAGCTGATCGTGGCTCCTGGTACTGGGAACTTGCTGGGGGAGAGAGGGTGTGAGGGTCCCGCTCTCAAAACCGGCCCTTCTGCCTCTCCTGGCACAAAAGTGTCACCAAAAAGTGACTCAAAAGCTCTTCATTTCCCAGGCTCAGGCGGAAGATGTGGCTGGTGGCAGCGACGTTCAGCTCTTGCAGGGTGGTGTTCGCTGGGCAGCCTGCGTTGCTCTCCCGTAACGTCCGGAGCATGTGGAGAGGAGCGAGGAGAAGGGGGGTGGGATCCTGTTGGCAGCAAAATGGGAAGCGTGGGATTAACTGCAGCCGAAGGTCTCTTTCCTCTCTTCACATAGGTTGCTCTGATATTTGAACTCGGGGTTAAAAAGCTGGAGTGGAGCTCACGTCCTCCAGTCTGTCCGTTAGCACGTCCCGAAAGAAGAGAGGTCGATGGAGGAGAGAGAGATGGGTGCTAGCAACAAAAAAAGTGCAAATGATAGTGAGCTGCCCTGCTTCATAATGAAAGGCTGTCCCAAGCTGGACTGGGTTTTCAGAAATTCCCTCCCGCTCTGGCTCTGCTGGAATTGGCAGAAGTGTGAGAATTCTTGAAAACCCCGTAGTTGAGACGCGGTTCCCTGCGTGTCAGGTGGGGCGCGTCGGTTCATCCGCTTCAACTCCCGGCTTTGAAACGCGGAGAATCTCGGGAGAGGACGGAAAGCGTCAGCCCCTGGGACTGTGTGTGTACAAATCCTGAAATACATCGTCTGATGAGACCGGTGTTTTGTGACAGTGTGGCAACGAAATTAGAGGATCCCATGAATGTGAATCCCCCTAGCACTGTCCTTCCATACCAAGTTCATTTCTTCAAACGCATCTTATTGATGTATTAACATGTTCTTTACACATCAAAAAAACGAAAGAGTTTACAAAAGTGAAGTCTAAGGGTGATGGACTGAGGTAGTTGGGTTTTTTACAATATATTGATAATTTAGAGATGAAGACAGATTCTTTGTCTCGTCTTACAGAGGCACAAGATAGAAACCAGAAAATGTGGCTTTAATTTCTAGGTCTCTCTGATTCCCACCAGGACCTTTAAGCAGTTTGCTTGCGGCATGTCCCATTTTGCAGCCAGGGAGCTGAGGTGCAGCATGGTGGGACTTTGCTTCA